CTCCCTCTCCCCCCGCTCTCTCTCATTTATTTCCACTCTGATCTTGATTATTCCCTTCCTTCTACTCCCTTTGGGCTCTGTTTTTTGTTGCTTTTCTAGTTCTTTTAGGTGTAGGGTCAGATTGTTTGAGATTTTCCTGTCTTCTTGAAGCATGCCTATACTGCTGTGAACTTCCCTCTTAGGACTGCTTTTGGTGTGTTGCATAAGTTTTGGGTTGTTGTGAGCTCATTTTTCATTTATTTCCAGGTACTTTTTGATTTCTTCCTTGATCTCATTGATTACCCATTCATTATTTAATAGCATCCTATTTACCCTCTGTATCTGAATGATTTTGAGGGGCTTTTTTTTTGTACTGAGGTTGATTTCTAGTTTTATGCCTCTGTGATCCAAGAATATTATTGATATAATTTCAATTTTCTTGAATTTGTTAAGACTTACTTTGTGTGGTCTATTTCTGAGAACGATTCATGTGCACTTGAGAAGAATTTGTATACTGTTGCTTTGGGATGAAATGTTCTGTAAATATCAATTAAACCCATTCAATCAAGCATGCCATTTAAGGTTGCTGTTTCCTTGTTGATATTTTTGGTCTGGAAGGTTCTATCCATTGTTAACAGTGGGGTTTTAAAAACCCCTGCATTGGCCCTGGCTGGTGTGGCTCAGTGGACTGAGTGCCATCCTGTGAACCAAAGGGTCCCTGGTTTGATTCCCAGTCAGGGCAGATGCCTGGGTTGTGGGCCAGGTTCTCAGCAGGGGACATGTGAGAGGCAACCACACGTTGATGTTTCTCTCCCTTTCTTTCTCCCTCCCTTCCTTTCTGTCTAAAAATAAATAAATAAAATCTTTTAAAAAATAAAAACCCCTTCATTGACTATATTGCTGTCAAGCTCTTCCTAAAGTCCTCCAAAATTTTCTTTATATTTTTAGGTGCTCCTATACTGGGTGCATATATGTTCACAAGGGTCATATTCTCTTGTTGGATTGATCCCTTCAGTATTATGCATTGACCTTCTCCATATGTGTTTATGGCCTTTGTTTTGACATCTATTTTGTCAGATATAAGTATTACTACCCTAGCTTTTTTTAGTCTCCATTTGCAAATAATATATTTTTCTATCCTTTCACTTTCATTCTGTGTAAATCTTTTGTTCTGAGGTGGGTCTCTTGTAGACTGCATATATATGGGTCATATTTTCTTATACATTCAGCCACCCTATGTGTTTTGATTGGAGCATTTAATCCATTCACATTCAAGGTTATTGACAGGTGCTTGCTCATAGCCATTTTGTTCCTTTATATCTATGTTCCTTTCTATTACTTCATCTTCTTAAAAGTTCCTTTAACATCCCTTGCAATGCTGGTCTGGTGGCATTGTATTCCTTTACCTTTTTTTGTCTAGGAAGCTCTTTATTTGTCCTTCAATTTTAAATGATAACTTTGCTGGATTGAGTATTCTTGGTTGAAGATCCTTGCTTTTAATTTCTTTGAATACTTCATGCCCGTCCCTTCTGGCTGAAGTGTTTCTGTTGAGAAATCAGCTGATAGTCTTATTGGAGCTTCCTTGTAGGTAACTGTTTCTCTCTTGCTGTCTTTAAAATTCTCTGGCTTTAAACTTTGCTATTTAAATTATGATGTGTCTTTATGTAGGTCTCTTTGGGTTCATCTTGATTGGGACTCTGTGCTTCTTGAATTTGTGTGACTTTTTTCTTCACCAGGTTAGGGAAGCTTTCCGTCATTATTTCTTCAAACAGGTTTTCTATCCTTTGCTCACTTTCTTTGCCTTCTGGTAGTCCTATAATGTGGATATTGTTAAGTAGCATGTTGTCCCAAAGTTCCCTTAAACCATACTTATTCTTTTTAAGTCTTTTTTCTTTTTGTTGCTCTGACTGGGTGTTTTTCCTACCTTGTCTTTCAAATCACTGATTTGATCCTCTGTTTCATCTAGCCTGCTTTTAATTCCTTTCAGCATATTCTTTTCAGTTATTATACCCTTCATTTCCAAATGGTTCTTATTCATGGTTTATATGTCCTTTTTCATGTTAATGTAGTTCCTACTTAGTTCCTTGAGCATCCTCATAATGATTACTTTGAACTCAATGTCTGATAAATTGCTGCCTCAATTTCATTTAGCTCTTTTTCTGGGGATTTCTCCTTTTCTTTCTTTTGGAGGTTGTTTCTTTGTCTTCCCATTTTAGCTGGCCCTTTGTGTTTGTTTCTATGTATTGGATTGAACTGCTTTAACTCTCTGTCTTGTGGAGTAGCCTTATGTGTTAGGACTCCTATGGAACTCAGTGATGCAGTCTCCTTTAGCTCCTGAGCTGGATGCTCTAGGAATGCTCCTTATGTCATTTATGTGGGCTCTCCTGTTGTATTTGGGTCTGGATTTCTGTTGGCCCCTTCATTGGTGTGTTCTCCCCTCCAGCTGTGACTGAGAGGCTCAGCCCCATGTGCCTCTTGTATGCTGTTGTACAGGTACTGACGGAAAACAAAACAACACAAAACAAAACCCACACAAGCAAAGCCCTCCAACAACAGCAAAATCAACAACAAAAGAGTAGAGAATAATAAAAGTGGGAAGAAAAATAGAATATTATAAGAAAAAGGAACATGCAAAGACCAAAGGAAAGAAAAATGATTATGAGGATAGAAAGATGAGAAACAATTAATAGTAAGGAATAAAAACAGAGAATCACCACAAAAGGGCTAAGAAAGGGGCAAATACAATTTTAAAAATAAGAAAAGGAAGGAAGAAGGCAAAATGACGTAAGGGAAGAGTACAATATGAGATTTGAAAGGAAAGATAGAGAAAAATAAAAAATAAATTGAAGAAAAAAGGAAAAATGATTAAAAGCGATGCAAAAGAAAAAAATAACAAAAAAATAATGAGAAAGATAAACTGGAATTCATCTCAGCAAAGCCTAGTCCTTGTTTGCAGGGTTCACTCTCTGGATATGATTCTGATGTTGTCTAAAGCTGGTATAAGCCAATGTCAGATGCTGTCCACTTCTACTCTAGGGAGCCTTGTTTGAAGCCACAGGTAATCCACAGTTTGTGGCTGTTTCCTCAGGGTCTGGCTGCATTCAGGATGGGCCTTGCTTCCCTGCAAGGCCAGCTTTTTATCAGCACAGGACCCTGGGGCAGATCAACCAATGACTAAAGGCACTGTAGTATCCACTTCCACATACCTCTGCCTGTAGTCCTGCCATGAGTCTTAGTCTAGTCACTGACCCATCTGTTTCTGAGAGGACCTCTGGCAGAATCAGGAGGATGGGACTCCTGGATCTCCCATGGCAGGTGCTGTTCAGACCTCAGGGAACGGTGGGTGTGTTCCCTGTCCCCATGCTTTTTTTTTTTTTTTTTTAATTTTAATTGTTGTTCAAGTACAGTTTTCTGTCCCCACACTTTATGTCTGAGTCTGTCCCAGATTATTTCCCTGAACCCAGCAGGGTGAAGCCCCTGGTAGGAAAGTAGGAAAGCAAGTGGGGCCTCCAGGGTCCTGAGTCTGGGCCCGCTGGAAACTGGGAGGGTGTTCCAAGGCTCTCCCATGAGGGAAAAGTGCCAGTTTGGTTCCTGGGAAGATGGGTGGAACAGCCGTGTGCTAAAGCCAGTCTCTAATACCCCTCGGTCTGCCTGTGTTGCTATCTCCTCAGCTGCAGATAAGATGCAGGTTAAGGGATGGGGGAGAGGAGGGGAGGGAAAGGGAGGGGAGACCCCGGCAACCAGGGTGGGGTGAGCAGGATTTCAGAGGGTAGGGTGAGAGGGATTCCAGAGGATGGGGCTAGGAAGATTCCAGAGGGTGAAGTGAGCAGTTTCCCACAGGGTGGAGTAATTGTTTTTCCCCTGGGAGCAGCTTGCTCTTCTAAAGAAAAATGGCTGCTGCGCTATGGAGGTATGTCCTAGTACCAGAAACCCAGTAGCCATTCCCCTCATATCCCCCGCTAAGCCTCCCACTTCAGACTTCCCTCACACGACTCCAGACCATGCTGCCCCTCCTTCACCCAAGCCCAAGATGAGTGGCTACAAATGTGAAACCTGTACTTTGGCCCCTTAGAACAAAAGAAAGGAAGAAAAAAAAAAGAAAGTGGCATTGTCTCCAGTGGACTCTGTCTCCAGTGAGCTGTCTCTCCGAGGCCAGCAAAACCCCCACAGCCTTTCACCACTGGATGCTGCGTGGGCAGGTGATCCCAGCACTGGCACTCTGTGCTTGGGGGCCCAGTCTGGGGTCCAGGCTTTACTTTTCTCAGGGAAGCTCCCACAGCCCAACCACAACCTAGGCCCACTGCCCATGACAATGGTGCTGGCCCCTTTTGCGTCCCTGCTCTTTCTACTCGTCTCAAGGTGATTTCTGCCAAACCTTAGTTAAGTGTCTCCTCTTCAGATCATCTTCAGTTGTTTATTTTGGGTGTATGTTCCTCTCTTTGTTTTTATTTTCAGTTTGGTGCTGGGAGGCAGTGTGAGACAAATCCTCCTACTCTACCACCATCTTGCCCCCCACCCCAAAATCTTATTTTCTTCTTGATGTATTTCTTCATTCCAAAAATTTCCCACAATGTGTGTGTAAAGAACAAATGCATGTTTATAAAATTAGCTTTATAGAGGTATATGCCAAGTAATAATAGCATGCTTCCAGTTTTCTTTTATATATTTCTTTTGATCTATACCTCTTTATGTTCTTTACATTACCTGGAAAACCCTCCACACATTTCTCTACATATCTAGCCTGTTTTCAACCCAATCTCCCAATTAAGATTCCTTTATAATACTGGTTAATCTCAATCCTTTGATCCACTTTGACTCCCAACAAAACCCTAATCCCCTTTAGGGCAGGCAATATTCAGGATGTTTTTTATTTCCCACTGTTATAGAACATTCAATAAATGCTTACTTGTTGAACCTGAGGGATTACAGTGAGACTGAAGAAAGTTGAAGAGATAAAAATTAACATAAAGCTATGAAGATAAAAAATATTTTCAATATTAAACTATACGCATAAAACCTACCAGAAGTGTTTGTCCTTGGGAAATGAAGAAATGACCTGATATAACTATGGTGAGAATGAGATACCCAGATTCTTCATTGGAGTCAAAAACCTTAAAAAAGAGAGAAAAGTATGTTTAAGACAATACATTTCTGTAATACTAAGAAACTTATAATACTGATAACCAAACTACCTTTGATCTCCCTACCCTGAATGTTCCTTTTCCTCCTTTATAACCTGGAATCATTTCCTCAGAGTTTCAAGTTTATCCTTATATAGCGGCCAATCTCCAGGTTTCTTAAAAATGTAACTTAAACTAATATTTTGAAATAAGAAGAATACTAGATCGAGAAGCTAGAGATGAGGAGCCTGGACCAACCACTTTTCAGTTATGTTTTAATAAATAATCAGTTATCTTTGAGCCTCAATTTCCTATCTGTAAAATGAGGACAACACCATACAGGGGTGCTATGAGACTTCAGAGTCCTGGTTTCTCCAGCCACACAATCCATACTTCATAACTCCTCAAAACCAGGGTCTTTCCTTTATATGTGCTTTAAGTTTTCAATGTCGCTCTTAAAATATGGTGCCCCAAACTGAACATAACACACTTAGTGTATTCTAATTATCTCCCATCACTTGCAATAACACAACCAATAATCACATTAAGCTTTTGAGGGAGCGGTCCTATTCAAAAGTGATCTTAGATCAATCAAACCTTCTGAAATTTCATCATCTGTGTTGGCAAATCACACTTGCACTTCCTTCACGTGAACTTAAATGTAAGACCTTGCATTTATCCCCATTATATTTTACCTTGTTAGATTTGATCTATAGTTGTAGTGGAGTTGAGGCAATTAAATAAAAATGTCAAGGAGGACATGATGACAGATATATAAGAGAGCAATTTGGGCCTTAAGTAAACTACACTGCATAGGTGGCTTTAATATCATTAATAAACATCACTGTATAAATAATAAGAAATTATTGACTCACCTCAATGCTCAAGCTCAAAATAATTAACACACTAACTCAAGTACATTTTTATAAGGTTACTATATTCTAGTGATAAATAATGTTCTATCTTATAGTTTCACATGTGGGGTTTGGAGTTTTTTTGTTTGTTTGTTTGTTTTTAATTTTATTTATTTTTAGAGAGGGAAGGGAGGGAGATAGAGAGAGAGACAGAAACATCAATATGCGGTTGCTGGGGGTTATAGCCTGCAACCCAGGCATGTGCCCTGGCTGGGAATCAAACCTGGAACACTTTGGTTCCCAGTCCACGCTCAATCCACTGAGCTACGCCAGCCAGGGCCGGGGTTTGGAGTTTTAATGCCATATTTCATCTCAAGACCAACTCAGTTTTCTCTAATTCACTTTAAATTCCAAACTTAAAAATCAAATAACATTCTAGATGTCCAGAGGGTGGGTTATGCTAAGCCCTGCACTATTTCCTATTGTGGTTGTTATTCTGCCTCTTTCCCAGGATCAGAAATTCAGTTATTTGTACAACACTGTAGTTTAAATGGATTATCTTACACGTTTCATGACCACATAAAACCACAAGGATAGATATCTAGGAACTAAATAGAGTATGATCAACAAATTCTTTGGAAGGCATTATTTTAACATGACAGTCTAACTTTTCTTTGAGAATTGTAACATGTATCCGAAAGTGTCCAAGACTTAAAAGTACAGCTCAATGAGTTATAATAAAGCAAACACATAACCACCACCCAGGAAAAATATGAGAGGTGAAAAATCAGATTATAACCAGCCTTCCAGAAAGTACCCCAATCACTACCTGCTCCCATTCCTCCTAAGACAACTTCACACCCTGACTTCTAACACTGTTGTTTAGTTTTATTTACATGAATGGAATCATACCGAAAGAATTCGTTTATGTCTGACTTCATCAATGTTGTTGCAAATACTCTGAGTTCACTCATTTTCATTACTGTAGAATACCATTTTGTGACTATCCTACAATTTATTTTTTTCATCCTTTTGTTGATGAATATTGTTTTCCAGTTTAGGTCTAGCACTAACAACTCAGTTATGAATATTCTTATATATGTGTCTTGTGGGGTGGAGACACTCATTATGGAGATGCCAAGTCTTCTTAATTATTTTATAATTTTTTTCAAGCGATGCAAAAGTACTTCCAGGAGAGTCCCAGCAGACTTCTCCCTGCCCTCCAAATTCTTACATTTAATTGCCCACTCAATATCTCCACTTGAAAGTGTAACAGTCATCTCAAAATTAACAACCCCTAACTCGAGGTCAAAACCATCCCATTCATTTATTTATTTGTTCATCCATTTAATATTTACAAAGTGTCTAGCAAGTGGCATCTGTTGCCTGTCTCCAGGTGTAGAAGTCCAAACACTTCTGCCCACTGCATCTTGGTACTGGAGTTACCATGGAAGACAACATAGTCAAGCACTGGTGGAAGAACACTTGGCTCACATGGAGAAAATACAGCAAGGTAAGCATCAGTAGTGACACCGGTTCCCCAGTAGCCAGGAGGTCTCTCTCAGCAGTCATGCAGAGCACTTGGCCTGCATTACCCATCAGGTTATAGGAAAAGGACCCACACCCCTCAGCGGATAGATAGAGCAGTGCAGTTGGTCAAGTAATACATGATGGTCATGCAGAACAAAGGAGCACAAGCTGTGAGGACTGTATCTCTTGAAAAGAAAGCATTCCAGGTCCAAGGCCCATTCTTACACAGCCCAGAGGGGTTGAAAAGCTGCATGCACAACTGCCTTTCCCAACACAAGGCACCTACCTACCACACATGCAAGGCTGTTATAGGTATTTGACTCCCACAGTTTTCCACGTCTCAGAATATAATTCTATTCTCCCATTTTCTTAGGCCAAAACTGTGGAAATATTTCTTGAATCCTCTCCTTTTCTCATACCCATATGTAATCCATCAGAAAATCCTTTATGTCAACATTCAAAATATTCAGAATCTAACCACTTCTCACAGGTCTGGTCTGAGTTATCATCATCTCTAATTAGATTATTATAACAACCTCCCAACTGGACTTCCCATTTCTGTTCTTGCTCCCTTTCTTCAACATATTTTATTTTCAATGCAGTAGCCAGAGTAATCCTTTTAAAACCTAAGACAGATCATATCATTTCCAACTCACAGCCCTGTAGCAGCTTTTCATCTCATTCAGAGACTCATGCAAACTGTTCCAAAATCTAGCCCTCTACTGCCTCTCTGCTTCAGTTATACTGTCCTCCTCACTGCTTCTTAAACTCGTTAGGCCCATTCATGGGCCTTTTACAATTGTTCTTCTATCTGAAATTCTTTTCTATATATACGTGACTTGCTCTGTCTTCTTCAGGTATTTTTTTAAGTGCCTTATTTTCAGGGAACACCTTTCCTGACCATCCTGCTGAAAACTCCCACCAACTTCCCCAGTTACCCAAATCAGATCACTCCGATTGCCTTCTCCAGCTTTGCTTTTCTTCATAGATATTTTTCTCCATCTTGTCACTTTTGTTAATATAAAGTCTGTCTGGGCAGACAGGCTTATATCTTTTATAAAGGATAAATGGTAAACGGGATTATAAACAATATTCAATCCCAAAAAGGCAGAGCAAAGAACATATAGGACAAATACAAAACAAAAGGCAAGATTACAGACTCATATCCAACCCTATTGATGATCACCTTAAAGGCAGATGACTTAAAGTGCATTTCTTGTAGGCAGCATATAGTGTAGTTAGTTGTAGTTTATTTTTTCATCCTAGTGCCAGATAGGATAAAAAGATAAGACACAACCACATGCTGCTTACAAGAAATGACTTTAAATACAAAAACATGCAATATAAAAGCAGGTAAAAAACAAGAGTGAGGAAAATATATACCATGCTAACACTGGTCAAAAGAAAGATGGGAATAGCTATACTGATATTAGATAGAAATATCAAAATGTATAAAGAAGGTTACTTCATGAGTCAATTAATTAAGAAATATAATGATTCTAAACATTTGTATCCCAAATAACACAGCTTAAAAATACATGAAGCAATAATTAATAGAACTGTAAGGAGAAACAGACATATCTACAATTACAGTCAGAGATTTCAATACCCTTCTTTCAATAATTGATAGAACAAGTACATGACCTGACTGACATTTTATAGAACACTCCACCCAATACCAGAAAAATACACATTTTTCTCAATTATATACACAACACCTACCAAGTCAGACAAAATTCTGGGCCTTAAAACAAGTCTCAGTAAATTTGAAAGTATATTTTCTGAGCATAAATTAAATTAGAAATCAGTAACAGTAAGTTCTCTGAAAAAAAAATTCCCAAATATTTTGAAATTAAAAAATACACTTCTAAATAACCCATGGATAAATAAGAAATTAAAAGGAAGATTAGGAAGTATGTTGAACTGAATGTAATTCACCATGTCAACAAACTGTAAATGGAAAACCAGATGATCATCTCAGTAGATAACAGAATATACAAAAGCACTGGACAAAATTTAACATTCATTCCTAATTTAAAACTCAGCAAACCAGGAATAAAAGGAACTCCTCAAGCCAATGAAGGAGATCTATGAAAAACCTACAGTTAGCATCATACTGAATAGTGGAAAGTCAAGCTTTCTCTCTAAGATAAGGAATGAAACAAGGATTTACACTTTCATCAGTTCTATTAACACAGTACTGGAGGTTCTAACCATTGTAATCAGGTAAGAAAAATGAATAAATAAAAAGCACCCAGATTGGGAAGGAAGAAGTAAAACTGTCTTAATTCACAGACATGATTATTTATGTAGGAAATCCGATTGGTTTTCCTAGAACTAATAAATGGATTTTAGAAAGGTTGCAGGATAGAAGATCAATAAATGAAAACTAAATTAATACAAATTAACAAAGAGCTGGCATTTCAAATTTTAAAAACATCAAAATTTACAAAAGCATCAAAATATGAAATGCATAGGGATAAACATGACAAAGTTAAAGATCTGTACACTGAAAAGTGACAGAAATTTAAGAACACATAAATATATGGAGATATATACTCATACTTTGTTCATGGATAGGCAGATTTAACATTGTGAAGATGCTGA